CTGTCCTCATTCATAAATCTGGGTCTTGGTGTTTTCTGTTATTTCTGATTTTCTCCTATTTTTTTTTTTTTTTTTTGGTCTTTTTGAGACAGGGTCTCCCTGTAGCTCCAGCTGGCCTGGAACTCACTATGTAGACCAGGCTGGCCTGGAACTCAGAGATGTGCCTGCCTCTGCCTCCCAAGTGCCAGGATTAAAGACATGCACCACCATGACCGGTTTTCTCCTATTTTTCAAAGTCTTTTTTCTTTCATTCTCTCTTCTTTGATTAATCCCGCTCCCCACTGAGAACCCTGTTTTCACTTTTAAACATTTTTTTTTCTATTAGCAACTTCCCCAATCCCACTTTTCCAGAAAAGGTCTCATCTAGTCCAGGCTAGCCTCAAACTCAATATATAAAGGCTAGCCTTGAACTCTTGATCCTCTTGCCTCTACCTCCCAAGTACTGGGATTATAGGCAAGCAACACCATGCCTAGCTACAAAATAAGCAATTCCTCCAGGCAAAACCAGAAACAAACACAACTGTACATATCCATCCTTACAGGAGCACTGCATGCCTGTCATGAGTACAGTAGGCCACAGTCCTAGTGACTCAGGGCCTCTTGATGTCTTGTCTCTTATAGTCATGGCAGGTAGTACAACTCACAGTGACTGGCGATATGGCAAGTTGAGGGAGCTTGCCAGGTGTGAAGTCCTCTTGGGCCCCAGAGTCTTGGTATTCTTCCCTCACAATTAGTTACATAGAATAGGCATGACCTTAAATTCTAAGATGGAAGAGATTTAAACACTGAGAGAGAGAGAGAGAGAGAGAGAGAGAGAGAGAGAGAGAGAGAGAGAGAGAGACAGAGAGAGAGAGAGAGAATTCCAGAGTTGGAGGGATGGCTTAGTGGGCAAGAGCACTTCCTGAAGAAAACTGGAGTTCGGTTCCTATTGTCTACATTGGGCAGCTCAAAACTGCCTTTTAACTCTAGCTCCTGGGGATCTGATACTCTCCTCTGGCCTCCATGGGCACCCACAATGCACATACACACACACACACACATACACACATACACACACACACACACACACACACACACACACACACACACACATACAAAAAAACAACAACTAAAACCTTTTTTAAAAAGTAAATTACAGGCTGGGGGTGGTGGCACATGCCGTTAATCCCAGCATTCGGGAGGCAGGCAGATCTCTGTAAGTTCAAGGCCAGCTGGGGCTACAGAAAGACCCTGTCTCAAAAAGAACAACAAGAAATTACAGGGGCTGGAGAGATGGCTCAGCAGTTAAGAGCACTGGCTGTTCTTGCAGAAGATTCAGATTCGAATCCCAGCACCCACAATGGTGGCTAACAACCACCTGTAACTCCAGTTCCAGGGGATCTGATGCCTTCTTCTGTGCTGTGGGAGCACTGCATGACACAGGTGTACTTACACACATACAGGTATAATACTCATACACATAAAATAAAAATAAATTAAAAAAAAAAGTAAATTACAGGGTGGGAGTGGTGGTACATGCCTTTAATCCCAGCACTCAGGAGGCAGAGGCAGGTGGATCTCTGAGTTCCAGGTCAGCCTGGCCTACACAGTACATCTCAAGTCAGTCAGGGAAATTTGATAATACTCTCAATAAACAAGCAACAATAAAATAAAATAAAAGCTGGGTTTAGTGGCACAAGCACTCAAAGATGATAGCAAGAAGATCAGGAGTTCAAGGTCATCTTTAGCTACATATGGAGTTTGAGGACTACATGTGGACTACATGAGAGCTGGTCTGAAAAAAGAAATTCATTATCAGTATGTTGCAACTTATGACTTATGGAGAAAATTGTGTTACTATAAAGGAAAATGCAAAGAAAATGTTCTATTTAACTGGCTTCTGAAAGTCCAGAAGAACTTTTCCAAAGTAGTATTCTCACACAGACAAAAGACCTGTGCTGCTATGCAGTCCCAAGGGATAGGAAATATTTGTTAAAATCCCTATGTGGCTAACTAACCATTGTATAATGAACACGGGCTCATGTGTACTCCCCCTGAGACCATCCCAGAAATAACAGAAGGGGAATTGCATAGAGAAACCCTATGAGACAAGGGGAACAGTGAAGGGCAGGACAGTGGAAGATGAAAAGTCAAGAGGCTGACAGTAACACACTCAGCTAAGCAGAGAAAGCCAAGCAGTGGGAAGGGTGGCCAATATGAAGCAGGCCTGCTTACCAGCCCAGAGCTCAGACAGCCCTTAGAACAGAGGTCACACAGGCACCTCTGAGGACAGGTGGCACTCCATGCTGGAGGACTGGAGAGATGGGTCTACTCTCCCATCCTGTCCTGTCTTTCTCATGAGACAGAACCATACAATTTACTATGTGGGACTCAGGCTTGCCTGGTACAGTTGAGACTGGGGCTATGAACATTGACACTGTAGGGGACAGCCTATGCACTGACTGCTGTCACACCAGGCTCTTTCTTCTGTCTTCCCCGTGGCCAGCCAGGAGGCTGCAAAGTCCTGTAGCAGGGAAGCTACCCACTTACAGCTAGTTAAGTCTCTTGAGTCTAAAAGGTCCATCTCAACATACAGTGGTCAAAGTGTCCTCAGTACAGTGCCATTACTGCAGAAAGACAAGAAAGGGGTGCCCGAAACATGGACACAAAGCCTCAAACAGTTTCTGAGAAAGTGCATGGAAAAAGAAGAGTATTTTGAGAGAACCATAAATTGTATCCTCAGGGAACTGGGAGGTCTTCAACTACAGAAGGATAAGAGCACTCCAAAAAAGGGAACACTCACAAAATAAGAGGGAATGCGGGAATGCTGGCTTTTGTGTTTGATTTTACTTTGTGATTTTTTTGTTGTTGTTGAACAGGGTCTCACTCTGTAGCTCAGGCTGCCTTGGAATTCACTATAAAACCTATGCATGTCTCAAATTCATGGTGATTCTCCTGCCTCAGCCTCCTGAGTCCTGGGATGACTATTATAAGTCACCATGACCTGACTTTTGTTTTGTTTAAATATATTTTATTTATTATTGTTTTATTTTTATTTTATGTGTATGAGTGTATTGCCTGCATGTATGTGAGTGCACCCGTGTCGTGCAATGCCTCGGAGGTCAGAAGAGGGTGTCAGATTCCCCTAAAACTGGAGTTAAGGATGGTTTGTAGCTACCATGTGGGCGCTGGGAATTGAACCTGGGTCCTCTGCAGGAGTAGTCAGTGCTCTTAACTGCTGAGCCATCTCTCTAGCCCCATTTTGTTTTGTTTAGAAACAGGCCCAGTGGCACACACCTTTAATTCCAGCACACAGGAGGCAGAGGCTGGCAGTTCTCTGTGAGGCTGAGGCCAGCTTGGTCTACAAAGCAAATTGCAGGTCAGCTGGGGGCTACAGGAACAATCTGTCTCAAAAAAACAAAAACAAAGCTGGATCTGGTGGTGTACCCTCTGCCTGAGGCTTGCAAGCCTGAGCTCTGAAAAGGAAGGGACTTGTCAGTGTATGTGTGCTGCCAGGCCACTTTATTTGGGTTTAGTTGCTTTGTGTACCCTTCCTCTTGGGAGACAGTGCTTTGCATGTGATTAAGCAAACATGGCCTGGTTTCTAAAATAGAAGGTAAGCCTTTTACATTGGAGAGCTCTGAGAAGGAAGATGTAGTTCCAACTGTAGTCCCTGTGGAGCCTAACGCCTGTAATACCGATCTGGTCTTTTTTTCTTAATTAAAAAAATTTATTGCCAGGCATGGTGGTGTATGCCTTTAATCCCAGCACTCGGGAGGCAGAAGCTGGCGGATCTCTGTGAGTTCCAGGCCAGCCTGGTCTACATAGTGAGTTCCAGGCCAGCTGGGGCTACAGGGAGACCTTGTCTCAAAAAGACCAAAACAGAAAACAAAAACCAACTCCCCTCAAACCCAATAAAAAAACAAAACAAAAACAACCCCCCCCCCAAAAAAAACAATAAAAAGAAACAGGGCATCAAGCTTGTAGCCCAAGTTGGCCTCTAACACTTTACAATCCTCCTGCCTCTGCTTCCCAAGTGCTAGGATTATAGGCCTGAGCCACTATATCCTGCTTGGAAAGCTGACTTCGAAAATATGAAGAGTAAGAGTAAGAGTAAAAAAACCAACAACAATAATAAACCAGGCCTGGAAGCTAGGCTTATGAACCCAGCTACTTGGAAGCCTGAGGATGGAGGACTGAAAGTTCAAGACCTGCCAAGGAAACAGTGAATTCAAGGCCAGGCTGAGAAACTTAGTGAGGTCCTATGTCAAAAAAAAAAAAAAAAAAAAAAAAAAAAAAGAGGGGCTGGGGATGTATTTCTGCAGTAAAACAATTGCCGGGTATCAGCCAATCCTAAATCCAATCTCCAAGTACTGCAATAACAAAACGCCCATGGGAGCCAAAGGGAGAAAAAGCCCCTGGGATGCTGCAGAGGGAAGGTCGCCCTCTGTTGGCAGGTGGATGGTGAAGCCTCACAGAACACATAACTTGCTCTGACATTTAAAGGCCAACAGGGATTTTCAGAGTGGGGGAAGGGCCTGTTGTTGGTAGATGAAAAATCTCAAGAAAGAGAACAAGAGCACAGCTGTTGCGGAGTACAGCCTGAATACAAAGCACTGGAGTTTGGACAAAAGACAGGAGCCTTTTCATCTAAGTAGGCAAAGGTCCTTGAATGAGCTTCACAGACCTGAATTTGATTTAAGTTCACTGGTTGTTTCTGAAGGAAACATCTAGCTTTTAACTGGGCAAAACAGTACAGCTTCTCCCCACCCTGAACAGCCTGCCAAGGCTGCCCTCCCTTTCCATTCTGTGGCACGTGCCAGCAAAGAGTGGCTGAAGGGCTGCAGGGCCCCTTTAGATGAACAGATAGTGTTGAGACCATTCTGGCCTCTATTCAGTGACTCTCCCCTAATGCTCTGCAAAGAAATGAAGCCCACAGGAGATGGAAATCACTGCTGCTCAACAGAAATCACAGCTGTGAGGCAGGTTGTACCCCTGTGACTCCAGAACATGGTACTTACAGTTTGGGGACAAGGGCGAATCTCATCTTGCTCAGGAGCTCGTCTTCTTGGAGCATGACCAGGGCAACAGGGTACATCTGATCAAAGTCGAAATTAAACTGCACACCAGCTGGAGGGTCTCGAAGGAAATTCCTCTTGTCCTGTGACGAAAAAGAAAACATGGGGGGAAGGCACAAGATGGAATTAACAGATCACAACGTATCATGGATTAGTCAAGTATTGAATTCTAACCTAAGCTGTCAGTCACAAAGTCCCCTAAGCTGCCCATTTAAAAGAGATGGCAAATAATCCAACAATCCACCCTTTCATTTTTTTTTCTGTCTTTTTTGAGACAGGGTCTCCCTGTAGCCCCAGCTAGCCTGGAACTCACTATGTAGACTAGGCTGACCCTGCCTCTCAAGTGCTGGGATTAAAGGTGTGTGCCACCATGCCTGGCCCTTTCAGGTTTTTGCTAACACTCACTCAGACACAGTCTCCTGGGTGGTGAGACAGTTCAATCACTAAATTGGTTGAAATCACAAAGTTAAAAAATCATATAAACAGGCCTGGCATGATGGCACTCACTTTTATTCCCAGTACTTAGGAGGCAGAAGCAGTGGCAGGCAGATCCCTGTGAGTTTGAGGCCAGCCTGGCCTACACATTGAGACACTACTCCCCCAAACAACAACAACAACAACAACAACAAAACATATAAACATATATTTGCTTATTGGGTACCTTCAAGTCTATGAAGGCTAGTGCAAATCCTAATAAAAATATTCTAACCCAAGGTCAAGCATGGTAGTATAGGCCTGTTATCCCAGCACTTAGACAGGGGGATCAGAAGTTCAAGGTCAGCCTCAGCTAGATAAGAGTTCAAAGCCAACCAGAGCTACAAGACATCGTGTCTCAAAAAACCAAAAACTGCACTGGTGAGATGGTTTAGAGGATAAATGGGCTTGCTACCAAGTCTGACAACCTGAGTGTAGTCCTCAGGAGCCACATAGTAGAAGGAAGGAGAGAACTGACTCTTCCAAGTTGTCCTCTGGCTTCCACACAAGGGCCATGGCATGTGCATGCGCATGTACATGTACATTCACGTGCAATAATCAAAAACCAAAAACCAAGGAACAGAAAAACCCATCACAATCATAACAAAACATCAAAAAAAAAATGAAGTCAAGATTACTAGAACCAGGGGCTGGAAAGATGGCTCAGCAGTTAAGAGCACTGGTTGATCTTACAGAGGACCTAGGTTGGGTTCCCAGCACCCACATGGCAACTAACAACCATCTGCAACTCCAGTTCTAGGGGACTGAACACTCTCTTTTGGCATGCATGGACACTGCACACATGGGTGCACTTTCATACATGCAGACAAAATGCTCATACATGTACAATAACTGGAGTTATGGACAGTTGTTAGCTGCCACGTGGGGGCTACCAAGAGCAGTCAGTGCTCTTAATCACTAAGCCATCACTCCAGCCCCCCACTGGTGTGAAGTTCAATAATTTTTTTGGTCTTTTTGAGACAGGGTCTCCCTGTAGCCCCAGCTGTCCTGGAACTCACTATGTAGACCAGGCTGGCCTCAAATTCACAGAGATATGCCTGCCTCTGCCTCCCAAGTGCTGGGATTAAAGCTGTGCACCACTATGCCCGGCTCACAGTTCAATAAATCTTAAAAAAACTTCTAATTCATTTTATTTTATGTGTATGAGTATTTTGCCTGCATGAATGTAAGTGCACCCATGTCATGCAATGCCCATGGAAACCAGAAGGCATTGGATCCCCTGAAACTGGAGTTAAGGACAGTTAGCCATCATGTGGGGGCTGGGAACTGAACCTGGTGCTCAGCAAGAGTAGCCAGTGCTCTTAACCAGTGAGTCATCTCTCCGGCCCCATAGATAAATCTTAAAAAAAAAATCCCAGAACAAGGAGCTGGATGTGATATGCTTGCAATATGCTTGCAATGCTTGCAATCTCAGCTCTTGGGAGGTAGAAGCAGGTGGATTAGGAATTTAAGGCCAGCCCTTACTACTTAGTGAGTCTAAGGCTACCTAGTGAGTTTGGGGCCAGGCTGGACTAAACAGTGGGCTGTTTCTGGATGAGATGGTACAGGCCTTTAATCCTAGCACTTGGGAGGCAGAGGCAGGAGGATCTCTGAGATAAAGGCCAGACTGGTTTACATAGTGAGTTGTAGGGCAGCTGGGACTACAGGGAGACCCTGTCTTGAGAAAACAGCAAAACAAAACAATCTACCCTGCCCCCAAAACAGATTTCATATAAATGAAAAGACATCTTGAACACTGTGTTCCAGCTGATCTTCCTTTTTTGATTTTCAAGAAAATCTTGATACATAAAGAATTTTAACTTTATTCTAATTTTTGACAACATATCCCATAGCACAGGCTGGCCTTGAATTTTCTCTGTATTGGAAGATTAAACTCCTGATCCTCTAGCCTACATTCCTGAGTGCTGGGATGACAAGCATGCAAACTGACTTTCCTTTTTCATTCAAGGCCACAAACTATTTTCTAGTTCCAATGGCTAAATCAAATGAGCTATAACCAGGGCAATTTCCATAGTTATTTAGATAGCTTCTAACCTGTTGTAAAGACTTCTGAAAGTCAGCCAGGCATGGTGGTGCATGCCTTTAATCTCTGCACTTGGAAAAGCAGAAGCAGGTGGATCTCTGTGAGCTCAAAGCCAGCCTGCTCTATATAGCATGTTTCAGGCCAGGTAGGACTACATAGTGAGGCTCCATCTGAAAAAAACAAAACAAAAAACAAACCAAAACCCTCTGAAATCCTGTCATACCGGCACTGGGGAGGTTAAAGCAGGAGGATCGCCTAGCGCTTGAGTTCTAGGATGAGGCCATGTGTAAAAATAACCAAAGAAAATTTTTATTCCCTTGTAAAATGATATTTTAAAAAAATTATTTTAGCTGAGTGTGGTGGTGCATGCCTTTAATCCCAGCACTTGGGAGGCAGAGGCAGGCAGATCTTTGTGAGATCAAGGCCAGCTGGTCCACATAGTGAGTTCCAGGACAGCTGGGGCTACAGGGAGGCCCTGTCTCAAAAAGACCAAAAAAATTTATTATTATTGTGTGTGTTGTGTGTGTGATGAAGGGGGCCCACACCCTGGTGCCACAGCTTGTGCGTAGAGATGAGAACAACTTTGTGGAGGGGGTTCTCTCCTTCAACTTATTTTTGTTTTGTTCTGTTTTTGAGACAGGGTCTCTCTATAGCTTCAGCTGGCCTGGAACTTGCTATGTAGGCCAGGCTGGCCTCCATCTCACAGAGATCCGCCTGCCTCTGCATCCCAAGTGCTGGGATAAGGTGTGCCATGCTAGGCTTCTGTGCTTCTACCTTTTATGTGGGTCCAGGGATTGAACTGAGGTCACCAGGCTTGCATGACAAGTACTTTAACCATGGAGCCATCTTATTGCTTGTAAAGCTATCTCTTTAGAAAAAAATTCCTAGAAATGGAATTTCTGGTCCATGAGTACAATTATTTAGATGAATACTGCCGAAACTTTCCTGTGGTGATAGGGAAAGGTATGAGCCAAGGAAGACTCCCAGGATTTTGGTAGAAAAAAAATAGAGGTGGGAGTGCTGGTGGTATAGTTCAATGATAGAGCACATGCATATAAAATATAACACATAAGTCCCTGAGCTCAATGCTCAGTGGCAAAAAAAAAAAAAAAAATGTGGGGAGAGCGTTGTCCCAAGATATGGCTCAGCAACCCCTGGGACCCAAATTGTAGTAGGAAAACTGACGCCCTATATGTTATACTCTGACCTTTACATGGGCACTGTGGTGTACACACACATACACACATACACACACACACACACACACACAGAGAGAAATGAATAAATAAAATAACAGGCTGGAGAGATGGCTCAGTGGTTAAGAGCACTGAGCACTGGCGCTCTTTCAAAGGACCCGGGTTCATTTCCCAGCACCAATGCAGTGTTTTACAACTGTCCATAACTCCAGTTCCAGGGGATCTGATGTCCTCTTCTGGCTTCCGTGGGCACTGCACACATGTAGTGCACTTACATACATGCAGGCAAAACACTAAAACACAGGATATAAAAATAAAGTTTTTAAAAAAGAAAAAAAATCTTTTAAAAGACAAAGTAGGTTAAAAACAAAGATGTGCCAGGCAGTGGTGACACGTCTTTAAGCCCAGCAGTAGGGAGGCAGAGGCAGGTAGATCTCTGTGTGTTTGAGGCCAGCCTGGTCTACAAAGTGAAAAGATAAGATTCATGAAGTCATGTGCCATACAATGAGCTCCGTGCTGGAATATAAAGATCAAGCTGGCCCTTGCTCCCTGAGAGAACACAGATAAGTAAGGGGGACATCAGTCTTAGCCCTCTCGGTGTTCAGTGGAGATAAAAGCTTCAGCTATTTTGTAAAGGATATAGAGTGTGGGAAAGTGCTTTCTGAAACTGTCAGGTAGGACATCTTTGCAGGTAGGTTTGGCTATATTTCCTTACATCTGAGATAAAGTCTTATGGGCCAACAAATGGAATTTTGTCTCTATCAACTTCAGTTACCAGCAAATACATGTAGGTAAAGAGAAAATACAGGGCCTGGAGAGATGCCTTACCAGCTAAGAGTGCTTGCTGTTCTTGCAGAGGCCCTGAGTTCAGTCCCTAGCACACATATCAGGTGGCTTACAACTGCCTGAAACTCAAGCTCCAGTGGGCATGGCACCCTCTTCTAGCTTCTGCAAGCACCGACAATGCAGGTGGCATTTACTCACATAGACACACACACATAAACATAAATTTAAAAAAATTAAAATACAAGGCTGGGCATGGTGGTGCACACCTTTAATTTCAGCACATGGGATGCAGAGGCAGAGGCAGGCGGATCTCTGTGAGGTCAAGGCTAGCCTGGTATGATGGTTTGAGTGAAAATGTTCCCCATAGGCTCCAACTATTTGGACATTTTGTCCCCAGTTGGTGGCGCTGTTTTGGGAGGTTTGAGAAGGTGTGGCTACCCTGGAGGAAGCATGTCACTGGGGGTGGGCTTAGAGAGTTCTTAAGCCTTGCCAGATCTCCAGTTGTTCTCTTGCTTCCTGTGCCTGCATGATGGTGTGAGAGCTTAGCTTCTGCTGCTCCTTCCTGCTCCAGCCACCTCCAGCCACCATGCCTCCCTGCCATGACGGACTGTAATTCCCCTGGAACCGTAAGCTCAAATAAACCCTTCCTTCTGTAAATTGCTTAGGTCAGTGTTTCTACCACAGCAACAGAAAAGTGACTAATATACCTGGTCTACATAATGATTAGTTCCAGGCCAGCTGGGGCTAAGGGAGACTATGTCTCAAAAAAAAAAAAAAAGAAAAAGAAAATAGAGACTATACTTATTTCATTCATAAGAATTAAAATGTTGCGGGGCTGGAGAAACAGCTCAGTGGTTAAGACGACTGATTGTTCTTGCAGAAGACCTGGGTTCGAATCCCAGCACCCACATGGCAGCTAACAACTGTCTGTAACTCCAGTTCCAGGGGATCTGACAGCCTCTTTAAAACATCTTCATTGTCACAGAAAGTTAACTGGACAGCTCTACATGTATCCCTTTTGTCCAGAATAATGGAAATTTGCACTCACATAAAAGTGCTTTCAGGCAATTTTAGATGATTTACAAACCCTCCCCTTCCAATGCCATCTATAACTCCCAAGTCATTGTTTAGAACCTCCTGTCTAGGGCTGGAGAGATTGCTTAGTGGTTAAGAACATTGGCTGCTCTTGCAGAGGACCCAGGTTTGATTCCCCGCACCTACATGACAGCTAATAATGGTCCTTAAGTCCAGTTCCAGGGTACCTGATGCCCTCTTCTGATCTCTGCGGGCATTGCATGACATGGGTGTGGCAATACATTTACACACATAAAATAAAAATAATAAATAAAAAAATATAAAAATAATGCAAAAGTTGGGGCTAGAGAGATAGCTCAGCGGGTTGAGAGCACTGTACTTCCTGTAGAAGACCCGGGTTCAACTCCCCGCACCCACATGGTGGCAAACAATTATTCTGAACTCCAGTTCTAGGGGACCTGACACCTTCTTCTGACCTCCAAGTGCATTGCACAACATGGGTACACTTACATATAAGCAGATATAACAATGCAAAAGTTGGGGCTAGAGAGATAGCTCAGCGGGTTGAGAGCACTGTACTTCCTGTAGAAGACCCGGGTTCAACTCCCCGCACCCACATGGTGGCAAACAATTATTCTGAACTCCAGTTCTAGGGGACCTGACACCTTCTTCTGACCTCCAAGTGCATTGCACAACATGGGTACACTTACATATAAGCAGATATAACACTCATACACATAAAAGTAAAAAATGCATGCAAAAAATACAAAAAGAACCTCTTTCTCTTTTTGTTTTTTGTTTATTTTTTAAGGCAGAGTCTCACTAATGTAGTACAGGCTGGCCTCAAACTGCTGGCAGTCCTCCTTCATCAGCCTCCCAAGTACTGGGATTACAGGTGCTAAACCTCCATGCCTACCCTGAAATAAACTTTTAGCTGGGTATAGTGGTACATGCCTTTAATCCCAGCACTATGGAGGCAGAGGTAAGTGGATCTCTGTGAGTTGAAGGCCAATCTAAACTATATAGGAAGTTCCAGGCCAGCCAGGGCTGTAATAGTGAAACCCTATCCCCCTACTAAAATATTTTAAAGGGTGACACAATGATTTCACATAATAGACTACACCTTTACCTTGTGAATAAAGTATAAACTAACTGAAAATTTTTTAAAAGTTATGGAGAGGAGAGGGACTTTCACAGAGCCCCTACCCCTCCCTGAGGATGTAAACACAGTTAATGTTGCTGAGGAAGGAAGAAACATTTTCTTCAGTAGTGCCCTTTGTCGTGCTCCTGTAAGCAACCCTAATAAAATGCATTGAGAAAACAATAACAAAAAAGCTGGGGATATAGCTCAGTAGCAGTGTACCTATCTGGTAAGTTTGATCCCAGTACTGCAAAAATCAAACCAAATAAAAAATCCAGAAAGTTACTTGGAAGGAAGGGAGGGAGGGAGGGAGGGAAGGAGAGAAAGTTAATGTGTTCCTAACCTTTCAAAATGTTTAAAAAAACTGGTTGGACGTGGTGATGCATACCTTTAATCCCAACACTCAGGAGGCAGAGGCAGCAGGATCTCTGTGAGATGGAGGCCAGCCTGGTCTACAGAGTGAGTTCCAGGCCCGCCAGGGTTACATAATGAGACCCGATTTTAAGCATCCTCCAAAAATTTTGTTTTAAAAGTGTAAATTTGGGCGTGGTTGCCATGCCTTTAATCCAAGCACTTGGGAGGCAGAGGCAGGTGATCTCTGTGAGTTTGAGGCCAACCTGGTCTACATAGTGAGTTCTAGACCATCTGGGGCTACAGGGAGACCCTGACTCAAAAACAGAAAAACAAACCTATAAAAACTGGGCATGGTGGTTCACAATTGTCATCTCAGCACTGGGGAAGCTCAAGTAGGAAGACAGCTGCAGGCCACTCTAGTGGGCAGCCTGGGATACATAGGGAAACCTTTACTGAAAAAAACAAAAACAAACCAAACCCAAACCAAACAAAAACCTGAAAAAATTGTACATAAGGGGCTGGAGAAATGGCTCAGCGGTTAAGAGCACTGGCCACTCTTGCAAAGGACCTGGGTTTGGTTCCCAGCACCCACATGGCAGCTAGCATATGTTCTTGACTCCAGTTCCAGGGGATGTGACCCCCTCTTCTGACCTCTGTGGGAACTGCATGCACACACTGCACTTACATACACAAAGGCAAAACACTTATATACATAAAAAAATTGCAGATAAAAAAATTCAGCTTGAAAGCCGGGCGTGGTGGTGCACGCCTTTAATCCCAGCACTCGGGAGGGAGAGGCAGGCAGATCTCTGTGAGTTTGAGGCCAGCCTGGTCTCCATAGTGAATCCAGGACAGCTCGCGCTACAGGGAGACCCTGTCTCAAAAACCCCAAAAAAAAAAAAAAATTCAGCTTGAAAGCCGGGCGTGGTGGTGCACGCCTTTAATCCCAGCACGCGGGAGGGAGAGGCAGGCAGATCTCTGTGAGTTTGAGGCCAGCCTGGTCTCCATAGTGAATCCAGGACAGCTCGCGCTACAGGGAGACCCTGTCTCAAAAACCCCAAAAAAAAAAAAAAAAATTCAGCTTGAAATAGTCCTATCAGGCTGCTCTTGCAGAGGACCTGGGTTTGGCTCCCAACACCCACATGGCAGCTAACAACTGTCCATAACTACAGTTCTAGGGAATCTGATGCCCTCTTCTGGCCTCCATGGGCACTGAAGACTGACATGGATATGGTTACATACATGTAAGCAGAATACACACACATAAAATAATTAAAAACAAGAAAAAAGACAGTTCTATCAACAGAGATGTACCATGATAGGAGGAAAATATGATCCATGCAGGGTATGACAGGGTACTTACAGCTGATAAGGCCAAGATTTGTTGTTGAATTGTTTCTTCATCGTTACTGTCCACCCAAGGGGGCATAGCTGCTTCTATACAGGTGAAAAAAATAGGCTATGATGGTTATACTGGTTTGAAAGAATAAAGAAGGTTATTAAGGACCACTTAAAATAGTAATTTACCAATAAGGTCCAAATATGAATATTCATTGTAATAGCCAGACTTAAGTTATGAGCTTTAAGCCTGGATGTATTTGGTCAAAAAACAGCCTATTTGAATGACACAGCATAGAAATCTATCAGCAGGACTGGAGAGATGGCTCACTGGTTAAGAGTATTTGCTGCTCTTGCAGAAGACCCAGTTTGGTTCCCAGTATTCGTATCACGCAGGTCACAACTACCTGTAACTTCAGTGCCAGGGGGAACCAACACCTCCTTTTTAAAAATATATATTTTTTAATTATTTTTATTTTATGTGTATGAGTGTATTGCTTGCATGTATGTGAGTGCAACCATATCATGCAATGCCGAGGAGGTCATAGGGGGCTTCAGATTCCTCTGGAACTGGAGTTAAGGACAGTTCGTAGCCACCATGTAGGTGCTGGGAATCGAACCTGGGTCCTCTGCAAGACCAGTCAGTGCTCTTAACCTCTGAGCCATCTCTTCAGCCCCCAACACCCCCTTTTAGACTCCTATATAGGCACCTGCACTTGAGTGCCCAAACTCATACACACATAATTAAAAATAAAAAAAATAATATGTTAAAATAAGGAAATCTGCCGGGCGTGGTGGTGCACGCCTTTAATCCCAGCACTTGGGAGGCAGAGGCAGGCTGATCTTTGTGAGTTCGAGGCCAGCCTGGTCTACATAGTGAGTTCTAGGACACCAGGGGCTACAGGGAGACCCTGTCTCAAAAAGACAAACAAAAACAAAAACAAAAACAAGGAAATCTTATTAACCAGATAATCAAAATCATTATCACTGAGCTAGAAAGATGGCTCAGTGGGTAACAGCATGCTGGCAAGACTCAAGACCTGAATTTGATTGCCAGGACTCACATGGTAGAAAGGATCCTCTAACATGCACATTCATGCAGTGTCACACATGTGTATATGTGTACACACACACACACACACAATTAATGTAATAAAATTTGTTTATGCTTTATTTTTTTTTACTTTTTGTGTTTTTGAGATAGGATTTCCCTATAGGCCCAGCTGACCTGAACTCACAAAGTAGCCCAGACAGGCCTCAATTTCACAGAGATTTGCCTGTCTCTGCCTCCCAAATCCTGATTAAAGGTGTTACACTACCATGCCTGACTGTTTTATTTATTTTTACCCTATGTGTTTTGAGTGTTTTACCTGTATGTATGTAAGTGCACAATGTATGTGCAATGCCTGTGGAGGCCTGAAGAGGGGATCAGATACTTTGAAACTAGCTTTATGGGCCACTGGTAGTTGCCATGTGGATGCTGAAAACTGAACCTGGGTCCTTTGCAAGAAAACTCAGTACTCTTCACTGCTGAGCCGTTTCTTCAGCACCATAAAAAATAATTGGGTGTGGTGGCGCGTGCCTTTAATCCCAGCACTCTGGAGGCAGAGGCAGGCGGATTTCTGTGAGTTCAAGGCCAGCCTGGTCTATATAGTGAGTCCCAGGCCAGCTGGGACTACAGGGAGACCCTATCTCAAAAAGAGAATAAAATAATTTCAAAATATCAGTATCAGAGCTGGAGAAATGGTCCCTGAACACGTTATTTCAAGAAGGGCAAAGGTAGGTTGGACCTTTGTGAGTTTGAGGTCAGCCTGGTCTACGTTAACAGGTCCCTGCCTAGACTGGCCTCCAATCTGCTATGTAGTCCAGGTTGGTTTGAACTTTTTTTCTTTTTTAAAAGATTTATTTATGCCGGGTGTGGTGGTGCACGCCTTTAATCCCAGCACTCAGGGCGCAGAGGCAGGCGGATCTCTGAGTTTGAGGCCAGTCTGGTCTTCATAGCGAATCTAGGCCAGCTAGGGTTACAGGGAGACCCTGTCTCAAAAAGACCAAAAATAAATAAATAAAAATAAATAAATAAAATAAAAAAGATTTCTTTGGGGACTGGAGAGATTGCTCAGTGGTTAAGAGCACTGGCTGCTCTTGCAGAGGACCCAGGTTCAATTCCCAGAACCCACATGGTGGCTAACAATCATCCATAACTCCAGTTCCAAGGGATTTGATGCTCTCTTCTGATTCTGGTGGGTATTGCACAATATGGATGCACTTATATACATGCAGATAATACACTAATACATATAAAAAGAATAAAATATTTTAAAAATATTTCTTTTTATTTTACATGAATATTTTTTCTGCATGTGTCACTACTTGAGTGCAGTGCCTGTGGAAGCCAGAAGAGAAGACCAGACCCTCTGAAACAGCAGTTATAGGCAGTTGCAGAACCCTAACAGCTGAGCTAGCTCTCTAGCCCTTACTATTTGTTTGTTTATTTATTTTTATTTTTTGAGAGTAGGTCTTGCAATGTAGCCACACGCTGACCTCAAATTCCTGGCAACCCTCCTGTCTCCACCTCTTGGGTGTGGGGATCATAGGTGTTTGCTACCATGCCTGGCTTAGCTTTCTTTGGTCTTTTTGACTGACCCTCTTCTTTAACTTTGTTCAATAAAGTGCTGGGTTCTTTTTTATTTCTAAACTGAGACAGGCCTCCTCACCCTATATCATTCTGTAGCCCAGGCTGGCAGGATAGCCTTGAACTCACAGCAATCCTACTGCCTCAATATCCCAAGGACTGGGATTATAGGTGTGACCCACCGCACATAGCTAGCTACACACACATATTTTGGGGGGCTGGAGCTCTAACCCAGTATACACTATGTAGATACATAATATCTGGGCTATACCCTAACATTATATACATTTTTGTATTCTCAAGCCTTAGTATAGGTTTAGTAGGTACTTAATAAAACCTGACGGGGGAACTGGGTTTGTGGCTTACTAGCAGTGCTTGCCTAGCATGCCTAACATGTGCGAAGACCTGGGTTTGATCCCCATCACTGAAGCACACACACAACACAGACACACAACACAGACAAACCCAAAAAAACCTTGGCAGATGAACTGGAGAGATGGCTCAGTGGTTAAGAGCACATACTGCTTTTTTTTTTTTTTTTTTTTGGTTTTTTTCAGACAGGGTCTCCCTGAAGCCAAAGCTGTCCTGGAACTCACTATGTAGACCAGGCTGGCCTTGAACCCACAGAGATTCGCCTGCCTCTGCCTCCGAAGTGCTGGGACTACAGGCGTGAGCCACCATGCCCGGCTTGCACATACTGCTTTTGTAGACAAACTTGAGTTTAGTTTCCAGCACCCATATTAAGTAGCTCACAACTTCCTAAAACTCCATCTCCAGGGATCCAATGCCCTCCTCTGGCCTCTGTGAGCACACCCATGCAAGTGGCATGCACTCACTCAAACATATACACATAAATAAAAATAAATCTTTAAGGCTAGGTATGGTAGCCCATGCCTTTAATCCCAGCACTTAGGAAACAGAGGCAGGCAGATTTCTGTGAACTCGAGGCTAGCCTTGTCTACATGAGTTCAAGGTTAGCTGGAGCTATAAAGTAAGATCCTATCTCAATTCTGCCCCCCAAATAAATAAATATATAACTCTTTAAAAACCCACCCAAAATGGGGCTCAGCAGTTAAGAGCAATGGCTGCTCTTGCAGAGGACCTAGGCTTGATTCCTAGCACCAACACGGCAGCTAACAACTGTCCTAACTCCAGGTCCAGGGGAATCCAATGCACTCTTCTAACCTCCTCAGGTACTGCACAACATGGGTGCACTTACATACATGCAGACAATAAACTCATACACATAAAAGAATAATAAAGTATTAAAAAAAATCACAACAGCAAAAAAAAAAAAAACCACTTGGTTGAGAAAGTAAGACAAAACTATACCATACCTGACTTCTTTGAGTGCTGTTCATCAACGAATTTCTTTTGTTCTTTCTGAAACTCCCCTATAATTGTCTGTTTATAAAAGGGCATAGAAAGTTAAGTTACTTTGAAAAGTTTACTACTACATAAGAATCATAGTCAACGGCTGGGTTTGGTGGCACATGCCTTTATTCCTATCACTTGGGAGACAGAGACAGGTGGATCTCTGTGAGTTTGAGGCCAACCTAGCCTACATAAGAGTTCCAGGTCAGTCAGGGTTACATACATAGTCAGACCCTGTCTCAAAAACTATAAATAAAAAAAAATTACTATCAAGATTTTTTTAAAAATGTATTTGAGAAAGGGTCTCATGTATACCAGGTTGGCCTCAAATTTGTTATGGATAACTTTAAACTTCTGGTCCTCCTGCCTCCTCCTCCCAAGTGCTGGGATTATAGATGTGTACCACCATGCCTGGTTTTATGTGGTACTGGGGAAGGAATCCAGGACCTTTTTTTTTTTCACATGAAAACTATGTTAGCATTCAATGAACCTGCCCTGTGTGGCTTCAAGCCACCAGAACACAGGTACCCCCAACACTCTTAATCTTCTCCTCAGTTCTTCTTCTGAAGAATTTGGCCTTCATGATCACGGGCTGCTTAGGGAGCTTTCCCTCCCCCAGAACTTTGCAGTAGCCCAATCGCACCATATCAATGATGGGGGCAAATTTTTGGCAGCATTTACCCATGTCTGTTCACTGACCAATGTCCACAATTTATCAAGGTTGACACTTGGGCAGAAGCTCTGGTTCCTCTTTAAGCGGTAATGCCTCATACCAACTTCCCCAAAGTAACCTGGAATCTAGGACCTTTCAAAAATTATTTTTTATTGAGCTGGGCGTGATGGTGCATGCCTTTAATCCTAGCACTCAGAAGGCTGAGGCAGGCAGATCTCTGTGAGTTTGAGGCCAGCCTAGTCTACATAGTGAGTTCCAGGCCAGCTGGGGCTACAGGGAGACCTTGTTTCAATAAGGCCAAAAAATATTATTTTTATTTATATTTACGTGTGTCTACTTTATGAGCACCGTGTGTATGCAGGTGTTTGCAGGGGCCAGAAGACCCTCTTCAGATCCCTTGGGACTAGAGTCACAGGAGGTTATCAGTTGCCCTATATGGGTTCTGGGAACCAAATTTAGATCCATTGCAAGAACAGCAAGTTCTTTTTTTTTTCCAGACAGGGTCTTACTATGTGGCCCTGGCTGGCCTGGAAATGATTATGTAGACCAAGCTGGCCTCAAACTCAACAGTGATCCACCTACCTCTGCATCCTGATTGCTAAAATCAAAGGCATGCACCACCAGTCCTGGCCTCCAGCAAGCATTCTTAACCACTGAGTCATCTCTCCAGCCCTGGACTCTAGAACTCTGTACATGCTAGGCAAGCACTTTACCAACTGAACCATATCCCCAGCCCCAAGTCAAGATTTATTTTTATTGTATGCATATGAGTGTTTTGCCTGCATGCATATAAGTTTGACATATGTGTTTACGCAGATTTGGTTCCAAGCACCCACATGGCACCTAAAAACTGTCTGTAACTTCAGTTCCAGGCCGCATGACACCCTTTTCTGGTCTTTGCAAACACTGCACACATGTGGTGCATTTACATATACACAGGTATACACAACGCTCATATACATAACATAAACTAAAAGCCGGGCATGGTGGTGTACTCCTATGCTGGATAGCTTTAGCTGTCAACTTGATGCATGTGGGTAGAGGGAGCCTCAACTGAGAATACCTCCATTGGTCTGGCCTGTGGCCATGTCTGTGGATTATTTTCTTGATTTTTGAGTGATGTGGGAGGGCCCAGCCCACTGTGAGTGGTGCCACCCCTGGGCAGGTGGTTCTGTATTGTATAAGAAAGCAGGATAAAAAGAAAAAAAGAAGGGGCTGGAGAGATGGCTCAGTGGTTAAGAACACTGAATGTTCTTGCAGAAGACCTGGGTTCAGATCTCAGCTCCCACATGGCAGCAAACAACTGTCCATAACTCCAGTTCTAGGGGATCTGTCGCCCTCTTCTGACCTCCATGGGCACTACACGACATGGGTATACTTCCATACATGCAGGCAATACACACATACACACAAAATAAAAATAAATAGAAGAAAAAAGAAATTAAAAAAAAAGAAAGCAGGTGGAGCATGGGCCAGAAGAGCAAGCTAGTAAGCAGCATTCCTCCATGGCCTGTGCTCCAGCTCCTGCCTCCAATTTCCTGCTGAGTTTCTACCTTGGGCTCCTGATGAATTGTGACCGAGGAAGGTGTAAGTGGAATAACCTGTTCCTCCCCAAGTTGGTATAGGTTAGAGTGTTTTGTCACAGCAATGGAAAATCAAACTAGAACAGAAATTGATACCAAGATGGTGGGGCATTGCTGGGACAGACCTGACCTTGGTGTTTTGGGGAGGATTGCAGAAGCATTTGGAATGTTGGACTGGAAAAGCCATTGAGTGCTTAGAGTTTATTGCTGTGGAGCTTGGAACAGTCATGTTGAAAGAGTTTGGGAGAATGGAGCCTGGCTTGTTAAGCTTCAAAGGGAAGCTGAGACTACCAGGGCTGTTTGTTTGATATCTTGAATTGAGAGCCTGTGGGTTCTGGTGGGCTAGGGCTGAAGAATCAGCTGTGATAAAGAAGAGACCAGAACCACTGAAGTGTGAAGCCTTTGTTTTACTGGGACAACTGATGCTGGTTAGCTGGGGCTGAAAAATCAGCTATAAGTAACAAGAGACCAGGATCACTGTGACAAAATCTTCTGGGAAGTATTTCCTCAGGATCAGCACACAGAGCCTATGGTCCAGAGGGGGCCCAAGCCTCCACCTCAAGCTGGAAGCAATCTCCTGCATGGTTTCGGTGTTGAAAGTGTGAGGGGACCACAGAGAGCAGCTGAGGCTTGGCACCCTGAGAGGCCAGGAAAGGCCATTGGTGAAAGTGCAGCCTAGTTGCAGTGAGGACCCCAGAATTGAAGGGGTCATGGAGAGTCTGAGGCTTTGCACCCAAGAGGGCACTGGTGAAGGTGCAGCCTCAGTTTCAGTGGAGACCCCAGCCTTTTGGAGATGCCAGGACCATGGGACGACCACCAAGGGCAGCAGCAGGTGTGGAATAGAACCAGTCTGGGTCTGCAAGACCAGCTGCGTGTGCTGTGGACGGCAGAGTCAGAGAAGTGGAGTTGCTGAAACCCTTTGGAGCCCAGAAGATAGTGAGTGAATCCTATATGTCCAGCCTTGAGCTACTTTGCTGGACTTACATTTTGCTTAGATGTGCCTAATTCTTCCCTTTTTAAATAAGACAATACTTGTTTTGGATTTTACAGGAACCCATATTTAAGAGACTTTTTTGTCTTTTTGAGACAGGGTCTCTCTGTAGCCCCAGCTGGCCTGCAACTTAGTATGTAGACCAGGCTGGCCTTGAACTCAGAGATCTGCCTGCTTCTGCCTACCAAGTGCTGGGATTAAAGGTGTGTGCCACCATGCCTGGCCACATTTAAGAGACTTTAAAGAGACTATGGACTTTTAAGTGTTTGGATTTTTTAAGGACTATGGGACTTGTAAGGTTGTAATGTCTTATATTGTGATATTATTAACATCATATCTTGGGAGAAGAAATGGAAAGGTTGTGGTTTAATAGCGATGTGTTTGTGTGTCAAGTTGACAATGAGTCAACTATGCTGGATAGCTTTAGTTGTCAACTTGACACATCAGAGTAGAGGGAGCCTCAACTGGGGAATTGCCTTCATTGGACTGGCCTGTGGCCATGTCTGTGGGTTATTTTCTTGATTTTTTGAGTGATGTGGGAGGGCTCAGCCCACTGTGGGTGGTGTCATCCTTGGACAGGTGGTTCTGTATTGTATAGGAAAGCAGGCTGAGCATAGGCCAGGAAAGCAAGCCAGTAAGCAGCATTCCTCCATGGACTGTGCTCCATCTCCTGCCTCCAGGTTCCTGCCCTGAGTTCCTACCTTGGGTTCCTTGGTGAATTGTGACCTGGGAGATGTAAGCGGAATAATCCCTTTCCTCCCCAAGTTGGTATAGGTCAGTGTTTTGTCATAGCAATGGAGAAACAAGCTAGAACTTATGGGAGGTAGAGGCAGACAGATCTTTTGTGAGATTGAGGCCAACCTGGTCTACATAGCTAGTTCCAGGCCAGGGAGACCCTGTCTCAAAAGAGAACCAAAATAAATAAATAAATAAATAAATTTAAAGTTATCCAAATGTACCTTATCAATGATGTCATCTATCTTTCCTTCTTCCACAGATTTCTTTATTGTCTGTGCTGTTTCAGTGACGGACTCAGTTATCTTCTTTGTGGCAGCACTTGCGAAGGTAAATAAATAATCTGTAAAGGATAAAGAGTCTGTGCATGGTGGCACTCGCCTTTAATCCCAGCACTCAGGAGGCAGAGGCAAAGGCAGGCGGATCTCTGTGAGTTCAAGCTGGGGCTATAGGGAGACCCTGTCTCAAAAGGACCAAAAAAAAAAAAAAAAAAAAAAAAAAAAAAGAGTCAGTGCTTCATCTAAGCACAATGGGATTATACTGTTTTCCACTGGTCTCTGCAGGGAGACCCGTGGAATGACCCTCATAGAAATCTGCTCTGCACATGCTCAGTCCCTTATGTACTAATGGTGTAGTACTGCACAGAACCTTTGAGTATTAGTCCATACATGCCTGTGTATGTTAAATCACCCTTACATTACTTATAAATACTTAATGTAAATGCTACATAAACAACTGATATGCTACATCAATACCTTGTATTACAGTAGGAGATCAGGAGTTCAAGGCCCACATCCAGTATATAACAAGTTTGAAGCTATCCTGGGCTATCTGAGATCCTGTCTCAAACAAACAACAAAAGGAAAAAGTACTGCACACATTTAGTACAGGCAATTTTTTTTCTAAATATTTTTTATCTGTAGGTAGTTGAATTGGTGAATGATGATCCATGGATATCAAGGGCTGATTGTATGATTTTTTTTCCCCCCTTAAACAGATCTTTTTAGGGTCCACAGAGATGGCTCAGTGGGTAAAGGTGCTTGTTGCTAAGTCTGAAGACCCGAGTTTAACTCCTGGAGAAAACTGACTCCCAAGTTGTCCTCTGACCTCCACATGTATGCCATGGCCCACCACGCCCTCACACAGACACATATACACACAAAATAAAAAAACAAAACAAAACAAAAAAGAAGCTGGGCATGGTGATGCATGCCTTTAATACTAGCACTTGGGAGGCAGAGGTGGGCAGATCTTTGTGAGATCAAGCCCAGCCTGATCTACATAGTGGGACCCTGTCTCAAAAAAATAAAAAAGCTATCTTTTTGGGTTTGTTTTTGGAGCTAGGTTCCTGTGTAATCCAGGCTGGACTCAAACTCACGATATAACCGAGGATGACCTAGAGTTCCTGATCCTCTTGATTTGATCTCCCAAGTGCTTGATGACAGGCTTGTACCACCCCAGAGGGCTTAACAGATCTTAAAAGAATCTAAATCAGTAGGGCATGTTCCCTGTTACAAAGACTTAAGAAAAGAATGGGAAGCACTAACGGGTAGTATTTAAATCACCATTTAAGGGGCTGGAGAGATGGCTTAGCAGTTAAGAGCACTGGCTGCTCTTGCAGAGGACTGGGGTTTAGTTCCCAATCCCCACATGGTAGCTGACAACCATCCATAACTCCAGTTCCAGGGGATCTGACACCTTCTTCTGACCACTGTCAGCATTGCACGACACAGGCGCACTTACATACACGCAGGCAATACACTTGTACACATAAAATAATAAAAAAATTTATATATATGTGTGTGTGTGTGTGTGTGTGTTTTGCCTGCATGTAAGTGCACCCATGCATATAATGCCCGTGGAGGCCAGAAGAGGGTGTCAGACCCCTTGGAATATGAGATATAGATGGCTATTAAACTGCCACATAGGTGCTGGGAACTGAACCTGGGTTCTCTGCAAGAGCAGCCAGTGTTTTTAACTACTGAGCCATCTCTCTAGCCCTAAGAAATACAAATCTTTAAGAATAATAGGTAAATACGTAGAACAAGATTAAAATGGAATACCCCAACTTTCACCTTTATAAAACCAAACCATAACAGCTATCTTTTCTTTTTTTTCCCCTTCAGTGCTGGGATCAAACCCAGTGTCTTGTATATTCTAGGTGAGTGGTCTACTATCACTGAGCTGAGTTGTATCCTGAGCCCTTATTTATTTATTTATTTATTTATTTATTTATTTTTTGGTCTTTCTGAGACAGGGTCTCCCTGTAGCCCCAGCTGTCCTGGAACTCACTATGTAGACCAGGCTGGCCTTGAACTCACAGAGATCCGCCTGCCTCTGCCCCCCCCGAGTGCTGGGATTAAAGGTGTGTGCATAGCCCTGGCTAGCCTATGTAGACCAGGCAGTCCTAGAACTCACAGAGGTCTGCCTGCCTCTGCCCCCGAGTGCTGGAATTAATGGCATGTGTCACTGTGCCTGTCTGTCCTGCTTTTTTTTTTTGAGACAGTAAATATGTATTTGATGCTGACCTTGAATTCACTGTGTAACTCATGCTAGCCTCAAATTTGCAATCCTACTGCCTTTGCCCCTGAGTGCTTTCAAAAGATTCCTTTCAAGGATCCTGTCATCATCTTCCCCCACATAAATATATTTTGAATTCGCATTGTCTTTTCTATATGTGTGGGATATGCACATACATGTGTGTGTGTGTGTGTGTGTGTGTGTGTGTATGGAGCAGGTGTGTGCCTGGTCATGATGTGTAGAGGCAGGTGTCCTCTTCTATCACTCTCCACCTTATTCCTTTGAAGAAGAATCTCTCACTGAACTTGGACCAGCCTCTGTTTTTTGGCTAGTCTGGAAGCTAGCAAGCCTCAGTAATTCTGTCTCTAGGGTTATAGGCACAGGGTACCACACCTGGCTTGTTACATGGGTGCCTGGATCTAATCTCAGGCTCTCATGGTTGTGTAGCAAGCACTCTTAACCACTGGATCATCCACCTCTCCAGCCCCTACACTGTCATTTTAAATCTAAGGAAAATGTTATTTTAAACTGGCAAAATGAGGGGCTGGAGAGAAGGCTCAGTGGTTACAGAGCACTGGCTGCTCTTGCAGAGGACCAGGGTTTGGTCCCAGCATCCACATGGCAGCTAACAATCCTCTGTAACTTCAGTGCCAGGGGATCCTATGCTCTCTGCTGTCATCCACAGACATTGAGCACATGGGTACAATTATATATATGCAGGAAAAATAGTCATACACAAACAATAAAAGTTTAAAAAAATTTAATTGGCAAAATGAGTATGGTGACACACGCCTGTAAATCCCAGCACTTGGTAGGCTGATGAAGGATTGGGAATTCAAGGCCAGGCTGAGATAGATTAGAACCTGCCTCAAAAAAAAAAAAAGTGGGGGATGATAGCAAGACCGTTCAGTATATAAAGGTGCTTGCTGTCAAGTCTAATGACCTGTGTCCAACCCTGTGTCTCACATGGTGAAGTGAACCAACAAGTTGTCCTCTGACTCATATCACGGTGCGCGCACACACACACACACACACACACTATTAAAAAAAGAAAAGAATAAATTTAGCAAAGCAAACAGGGAGAAAGTGGCATGTAAGACCTGAGGTTAGATTGAATAGGGCTAAAAAAAAGAGCACCTAACAGAAGAGCTTCAGCAAATTAATATTTTTATACAGAGGTAGGTTAATTTTTCAAAGAAATTACATGTCTTTTAATTTTACAGTCTCAGAAAACTGATGTGTTAGAAGGGCCCTTAGAGGTTACCAGATTCAGTTCTTTATCCAGGCTGCCCACTTCCAGGAACAGACTTTGGAGAGGCCACGAGTTACGAGTATTACCATATCTAACTGGAAGCTTTTCACTTTTGGCATTTCTATCTCTCAGCTTTAGGTCTGCCCTCTTTAAATTTTTTTTCACTTGTTATTACTGTGTGTACAAGCAGGTGGGCATATGTGCCATGGTATGCATGTGCAGGCTAGAGGACAACTTTGTGGAGTCACTTCTCTTTTCTTACCTTTACGTGAGTTCTGGGAATCAAACTCGGGTCTTCAGGGTTTCGAGGCAAGTGACTGTACCCACTGAGCCATCTTGCCAGCCCCTAAGTGTGTCCTCTTCGGGAACATAAACTTTTAATCTGTGGGACCTCAAGTATCTTCTTTAAACTAAAACTGACAGTTCTAAATACTGTTGTTCACAAGTCATGGGATCCAAGCTCTTAACTATTTACACTGTAAATCCCTAACAACTGGAACTGTTATTAGAACTCAATTAGATATTTTATATCTGGGTTTGTTTGCATGTGTGTGTGTGTGTGTGTGTGCACGTGCGCATATGTTTTTATGAAACAGGGTCTTGCTATCTAGCTCTGGCATGTCTGATACTATGTACCCCAGGCCTCCTTTGAACTTTCAGTAATCTTCCTGCCTCAGCATCCCAAGTGTCAGGGGGATGCTCCACCATTTCCAGCTTAGATACCTCTTCATCAAAGCAGATTCTAATTTTCCTAGTTGTATACTAATTGTGTGAATAACTCAGATATGTAACACTCCCAACAGGATAGATGCCCACCACCTCATATCAAAAGTACAGGAGAAGCAGATTTGGTTAATTTTTTTGACGTCTAACTATCCTGGTTGGAACTCCCTATGTGGACCAGGCTGGCTTCAAACTCAGAGCTCTATCCATCTGCCTCTGCCTCCCCAGTGCTGGGATTAAAGGCACGCACCACCATGCTCAGCTTGATTTGGTTAACTTTAACAACTAACTACCCTGAACTAAATTAAACTGGGCATGAGGTCTTCAGGAAGGAGAATTCCTAAGTGTGTGATTTCTCCTCCAAACTGTTTGCTGCTTTGGTGGGTGAGGGAGAAGGGTGCAGGGTAATGGTAAGGCTGAGTGGCCTAAATATATGTCACTACTAAACAGTAGTACTTAAAGTCTAATATTGAAGGTAGGGATTCAACAAATGTTTACAGAACAAATGGAACTCTCGGGGGATTCCACGTGGCTTTCAAAGGTCTAAAGAAACTACCTAGAGGAAGTCAGGCTCAGAGATTTCAGTTTTCAAAGCACAGGTAGGAGCCAAGCTTGGTTGAGGCTATATTTTCTGGCCTGTAAATCCTCTTGGAAGGTAGAGGCAGAAATTCAAGGTCAGTCTCAGCTATGTAGTGAGTTTGAGGCCAGCTTGGAATACATGAGACCCCAAACTCCACAAATGAACTAAGAAAAACATACAGGTAGAACTTCTTAGAGATATTATCTCTCTTCAGGATAAATATGAAGAATTAAAACACCCGACAATTTCTCTAGAGCCCTCACATATTCTGAAGCTTTAATGGATGGAGGTGCTTTCATCTAACTTCAGCCTCCTCAAGAGAACCTGGTAAAGAAAAAGCAAGGGGCACAGTGCAGATGCACAGTGTCTGCCTGGCATGACTGTGGTCTGGGTTTGATCCTCAGTACTGCAAAGAAGAAAAACAAGGGGGAAATTTTAGCTGGGCATGAATGTATCCATCCGTGACCTCAGCACTCAAGAGGTAGAGGCAGGAGGATCAGGAATTCTTTTTTCTTTTCACTAAGTTGTCAAGGGTGACCTTGAACTTGTGATTCTGTAATATCAACTCTTAGGAGGTAGAGGCAGGAGAATCAAGAGTTTCAGGTGATTCCTGGCTACAAAGTGAGTTTGAAGCCAGCTTGGGCTACATGATACCCTGCCTCAAAAATAAAACAACAAAAATGTACTAAATTCGGTATTTATTTTTGTTGGAATTCTCTTGTTTACTTCTGCTCAAGGCCCACCTCTTCAGGGGTCAGTTTGACAATTTAAGCCTACCAAATACCTCCAGAAAGTTACCACAGCAAAAGTTTGTATTTTTAAAAAAACAGATTTATTTTGATTATTACTATTTTTAAATATGTGTGTCTGTGTGGGGGTATGTGCACTTGAGTGCAGGTGCAAGGGAGGCCAGAAGTGTTTTGTTGGATCTCTTGGAGCAGGAGTTACAGACAATTCTGAGCCACCTAACTGTGGGTTCTGGGAACTGAACTTGGGTCCTCTGCCATAGCAGTACCCGCCTCTGAGTCAGTTGTCCAGCCTGAGTTATAGTCTTATTGGCTACTGTTCCTCTAACCTCAACTGTAAACCTGGAGAATGTATGGGTTTTGAAGTTAGGCAGGTTCTGGCTCAAGTTCTACTGGTATCATTAACTAGCAGTTAAACACTGGGCTTGTTCTCCCAACCCCTTGGGGATAGTGAATAGATAAAATGAAATATTTAATCCCAACCCTCAGAAGGCAGAGGCAGAAGGATCTCTATGAGATTGAGGCAAGCCTGGTCTACATAGCCAGTTCCAGGTCAGCCAGGGCTACAGAAAAACTGTAGCCTGTCTCAAAACAAAACAAAAAAAAAACAAACAAAAAAAAAACCAAAAAAACTCCAAACCAACCAACCAACCAACCAAAAAAAAAAAAAAAAAAAAAAAATTCTATCAATGAAACTTGCACGTTTGCTGCTTTCCCACCTTAATGAAAAAGGTTTCATTGCATAGGAAAAGAGGATCACAGAGCACTTGGGAAACATAGGAGGATCACGAGTTCACGGTCATCCTCGCTTTCGTGGTGAGTTCGAGGCCATCTTTGGGCTACGTGAGACCCTGTCTGGAAAAAAAACAAAAAAAAAAAAAAAAAAAAAAGCAGAGAGGACGGGTGTCGCATACCTTTAAGTCCCAGCACTGAGGAGGTTGAAGCAGGCGGATATCTGAGTTCGAGGCCAGCCTGGTCTACATAACGAGCTCCAGGCCAGCCAGGGCTACTTAGTGAGACAGTCACACAGAGATCGCTTTACTGGGCCCGCGCGATGAATACATACAAACTTTGCGGAGAGCCACACAAGGTCATCAGGAACGTTGGGAACAGGACCTGACTGCTTTGAGAAGCTCCGGTCTCACCCATCAATCCCACTGCGGAGAGGACTGACCCCTCCACTACACACCTGCGTCCCCGGCGTCCCCTCCCAGCCCACCCGTCGGCTCCCGCAGAGGGACTCACTGCCAAGGCCTTTGGCCTGGTGGAGGAGCTCGGGATCACCCGCCAGCTGCTGCGGTTCGTGTGTGGGCTCTGTTGGCGGTTCCGGACGCGATTCGGGCCGAGGGTCTCCAGCCGACAGCTCGTCTGCCTGGGGCGGCTCTCCCCTTGCCACCGCCCCCTCGGGCTGCTTCAAGCCCAGCCAACTACTCAACTCTCGGAACATCCCACCGACGGACGGGTGGTCACCGCTGCCAACGCTGCCGACCGTTCGGGGATCCGACTCCGCGGCTCTCGAGGGAGGTGGGCCGGAAGCGGAGTGACAGGCCCCAACACAGTCCGCCCTGGGTGACGGCTCCCCAGCTGACCGCGCATGCGTCACGTCCGGCCGCAGGCTCCGCCCTCTGCCGGCGTTGACTACTCCAGGGGTGCGTGTACCTCAGGGACAAAGGGCGGGACCGTGCACTCCTGTAGTCCCAGCACTCCAGAGGCAGAGACAGGCAGGTCTCTGAGAACGAGATTCCGACTTCGTCTACAACAGGTAGTTCTAAGCCATATAGGGCTACAGGGAGACCCCATCTCAAAAAACCAAAAACAAAAGAACCAAAACACGGGGGCGGGGGCAAGCAAGCGCGCGTGCGCGCGGACACACACAGACACACACAGACACAGACACACACACACACACACACACCCCCGAAAGGGACAAAGTTATTTATTTATTTATTTTTTTAACAAGGGACAAAGGTTTTTTTTTTTTTTTTTAACTTTACCTGGTCTCTCTGATTTTTTGAACCTATCTCTAGGAAATACTCCCCCCCCCAAAAAATCTCTATTTTTTAAGATATGGTGTCCCATTACATAGCCCAAACTGTGTAGCCCAGGAACACACTATGTAGCTCAGGCTGGCTTCGAAGTCAAACATGTCTGCCTGCCTCTGCCTTCTCGGTGGTGGGATTAAACGTGTGCACCACCACGTCCCACGACGTGATCTCATTTTAGGATTGCCTCTAAGCAGCTTGGCTGGTGGCAGTCTTGCCTTTTCATGTCCAACTAGACTGGGTTCCCCTTGGGAAAATGAATGTTTTTAGCCTTCTCCTGAGCCCAACTCATAACTAATCCAAGCTGGGTGTTTTGGCACACAACCATAATCCCAGCATTTGGGAGGCGGAGGAAAATCTAGTTGAAGGCCAACCTAGGTTACACAAGACCTTGTGCCAAACATAAAACAACCAAGAATGAGAGGAAGGAAAAAGGGAGGGAAATAAGGAACAAAGCAACAAAGCAAGGAAGGAGGAAGGGAGGGAAGGAAGGAGGAAGAAAGGAAGGAAAGGAGGGGAGAAAAGGAAGGAAGAAAAAGAAAAGAAAAAATTTAAAAGTCTCATGGAAGAGATTAGGGTAGGGTTCTTGTAGATTAAAAATTGTTTACTGCAGGTGGGTGAGATGGCTCAGCAGGTAAAGGCACCTGCCCCTAAGCCTGACAATATGATTTTTAGTCCCCAGACCCACATGGTAGGAGAGAAGTGAGTCCCATAGGTTGCCCTCTGACCTCCACAGCCATGCTGTGGCACAAGTGTGTCCACACACAATAAGTGTTTAAAAATTTTTAAATAAAGTGACCAGGTATGGTGGCACACATCTTTCATTGGGAGGCAGAAGCAGGCGGATTGCTGTGAGATAGAGGCCATCCTGGTCTACATAGCGAGTACTAGGCCAGTTGAGGCCTGTCTCAAAAAGAAAGAAAAAAATGGTACCAGACTGAAACTAGATGAGTAGTAAGGTGGTAGAGCCTTGCATGCTCGGGGTTTGCTCCTTACCACCTCAACACACACACACACACACACACACACACACGAGATTTATACTTAGCTGGGCGTGGTGGTACACATCTGTAATTTTAGCACTCAGGAGACTGAGGCAGGAGGAACAAGTTCAAGGCTAGCCTGGGCTACAGGAGATTTGTTTTTAAAAAGCTAACAAAAATAAGTGAGAGAAAATAAAACCTGGACCAGTGGGTAAAGGTGCCTGATAGTAAGCCTGACCTGGGACCCACCTGGAGAAAAGTGAGAACCAGTTCTTGCAAATTGTCCTCTGACCTCCACACACAAACCATGGTGTGCATTCTCATTCTCTCTCTCTCTCTCTCTCTCTCTCTCTCTCTCTCTCTCTCTCAATAAATAAAAAGTAGAATTTTTGTTTGTTTTTGAGACAGTCTTGTTGCCCCAGATGACCTGGAAGTCCCTAAATAGACCAGTCTTGCCTGAATATTAGAAATCCATCAGTCTCTGCCTCAGAGTGCTGGGATTAAAGGCATGTGCCACCACCCTTAGTTAAAATTGTTTAGTGTTATCTTATTGCTCTGGTAGGCCTGGAACTCGATATGTAGATCAGTCTGGCCTTAGACTTGCAGCCTCCGGAGTGCTGGGATTAAAGGTGGGGGCCACCATACATAGCTATAATTTTTTTTTAAAGAACATAAAACCGAGCTTGAGAGATGGCTTAGTGGTTAAGAGACTGACTGCTCTTGCAAACGACCCAGGTTTGATTCCCAGCACCCACATGCGGCTAACAACCTTCCCATAACTCCAGTTCCAGGGGAATCCGATGCCCTCTCCTGCATTGCAGGACATGGTGCAATTACACACAATGCAGGCAACACACATACACATAAAATAAAAATAATAAATAAAAATTTTTATAGAAAGAGCTGAGCATGGTAGCGCACCCTTTTAGTCCCAGCACTTAGGAGACAGAGGCAGGCAGATCTCTCTGAACTCAAGGCCAGCTTGGTCTACATAGTGAATTCCAGTCCTGCCGGGGCTACAGGGAGTCCCTATTTCAAAAAAATTTTTTTTTAAGAAAATAAAACCTTTGACTACTTGTGCTTTAAATTTTTATTTTATTTATTATTTAATTAATTAATATGTTTTTGAGACAGTATCCCAAGTAGCCCAGTCTAGGCTTGCTTCAAACTCTACTCCCCCTCCAAATGTTCCCCCCTACTTTTGCTCTAATAACTGAGCTAAACTCATGGCCCACAACTGTGCATTTTATTTGGACGGTAATTTAGTAAACACATTTGGAGTGATGGCTCAGTGGTTGGGAGTGCTGACTGCAGAGGAGGATCTGGGTTCGGTTCCCAGCACCCACATGGGAGCTAACAACCATCTGTGACTCCAGTTCCAGGAGATCCTCCACCTTTTTCTGACCTCTGTAGACATTGCATCATTCAGGTACACTTGCATGCATGTGGGCAGTGCACTCATACACATTGAATGGGAATAGTGGATGAAACATTAAAAAAATTATGGTGCTTATACAGTTGGAAATTTAGACCCTAGGTAGTTGATAAAACTAAGGAATTGTGAAGTTCAATCTAAATTGTGGTTAAAATACAAAGTTTGCCATCAACTATTTTATTTTTTTTAGACATTTATTTTATTTATTTTTTTACGCCCACTTCCCAGATAGCACCCTCCCATAGCCTGCCTCCCCCCACTAGAGCCCTTATACTCTGATACCCCTCCTGCTGTCTGCTGTGTTGTCAGCACCCCCAGCCATTCCCCACTACTTGCCCTTCTGGTGAATCTAGTCAGCCTATCTAGAGGTCTTTGTTTTAGGAGGGTCAGCTGTTCTTCATCTAGGGGTAATCAGTTGTCAATATTCCTTTGGATAAGATTGGGTTCTGCTGTTCATTTTCCCAGTTCTATGCTGGGTTACTATCTGGGAATCCTGTTTTTGCCACAGCTGGCCTGGATTAGCTATGGAGACCAGGCTGGCCTTGAACTCACAGAGATCCACCTACCTCTGCTTCTGAGTGCTGGGATGAAAGGCGTGTGCCACCACGCCAGGCTCTATTTATTTATTTTATTTTATTTTTTAATGTGTATGAGTGTGTTGCCTGCATATATATAAGTGCACCCGTGTCATGCAGTGACCAAAAAGGTCACAAGAAGGCATCAGATCCCCTGGAACTGGAGTTACGGACAGTTTGTGGGTGCTAGGAATCGAACCCAGGTCCTCTGCAAGTGCTCTTAACCACTGAGCCATCTCTCCAGCCCCTCAAGACGTTTATTTAAGCCGGGCATGATGGCACAGTCTTTTAATCTCAGCAGTAGTTTTTTTTTTTTTTTTAAACAAAACAAAGCAAAACAAAACAGGGTCTTGCTATGTAGCCCTGGCGTGCTTGGAATTTGCTATATAGATTATTCCAGGTTGATCTTGATCTCACAGCCATTAAGCCTGCTTCTGTCTTGAGTGCTGGGATTAAAGGCGCAGCTCTAAATTATCTTTAAATATGTGTGTGTGTGTCTGTGTGTCTGTGTGTGCCTCCAGGAGGCTTATGTGGTCAGAGGACAACTTGCAGGAGTTGGTTCTCTACGTCTACCACGTGAGTACCAAGGATGGAACCAGGTCCGTCCGATTGACGCCAAGCGCTCTTACCTGGTCAGACATCTCATGGGCCCATATATGGTTTAATTAAAAAAAAAAAATTTAAATGAAAAAAAAAGGGGGAGAAGGGGCTGCTGGATGGCTCAGCATGTTGCAAGCCTGGCGATTCCTGGTCCCTGTAGAAAGGTGGGAGAGACTGGATGCACAAAGTTGCCTTCAGATCACCACACGTGGGTCCCACCGTCATCATGCGCAGGCATGCACACATCCACTATTGATAAGTGCAATTTAAAAATTTTATGTACAAAGAGCGCGAGGTGGTTCAGTTTCACTTCAAGCATACCACCGGAAACAGTGTGATGCTCAGTCAGCATTTCCGGTGCGGACTTTGGGCCGCTGGAGCAGATAGCTAAGAAGGGGAATCCTAGCGGGTATTTTCCTCAGTGGCGCCAGGGTTTCAGGCGACCTAATCTCGTACTCGGATGTGGAACCAGGGAAAATGCCAATGGTATATGTTTTTGATATAAAGCGTTTGGGAAACTTATAGAACAAAGTTAAGCATTTTAACCATTAGGGTATAAGTGGGTGACATTACAGACTTGCTAACTGGGTTTTGAAAAATGACTTGTAGCTGGGCGTGCTGGCACACGCCTTTAATCCCATCGGGAGTGGGAGGCAGGCTAATTTCTGTGAGTTTAAGGCCAGCCTGATCTACAAAGGGAGTTCAGGTCAGCTGGGGCTACAGGGAGACCCTGTCTCAAAAAGAAAAGAAAAAAAAAGACGGGTTTATTTTATGTGCGTGCCCCTGGATACGTGGGGATGTCAGAGGACAATTTGTGGGTGTCAGTTCTCTCCTTTCCCTACTGTGCGTCCCAGGGATGGAACTCAGTTCGTCAGCTTTGGTGGCAAGCTCATTTACCCACTGTGCCATCTCACCTGACTCGCCCATTTGCAAAGTTGGTGTGATTGGGTGGGCATGGCTCCCAGTTGGAGTATTGATTCAATGGGGAAAGTCAGGAGATATTTTCAGAGTCTGGGCATTTTTTAGAAAATTCCATTTGCTTCAAGCACAATTGGTCTACCCTTAGTAGGCAGATAACCTTGACATTTTGAATTTTTTTTTTGAGGGGATTGAGCTTTGAAGTTTGT